ATATAGAGAGCACCCGTCTCTGTGGAGCCGAGGCATCCATTGAGAAGGTAAGTCTTTCATGTTCAAATTTAAAAGGATTGGCTTAGGTGTAAAGTAAAGATAAATGGTGGCAGCGGTTTTCTTTTATTATCATAATTGCAATTTTTCGTGATTTCTTTATTAATCCGCTCAACCAAGAATTGACAGTAACTTCAATTATTACTTTCAATCATTGATAAACAGATATTTGAGAAGCAACCCTTTTGAGACGTAACATGATGGGCAAATGAAAAAATGGTGGCAGCGGTGGGATGTGCTAAAAGAGATTGATCATTGAGGTGAAAGAGACAGGTGGGATGTGCTAAAAGAGATTGATCATTGAGGTGAAAGAGACAGGTGAAATTTGACAAAAAGATTGATCTTTGAACAGGAGAAAGATAATATTTGAATATAATTAAATTCGTAAATTCGAATTCTGAAAAAATTTTGCTGAGATACAGCAATTAGTGGCATTAAATTATTAGCAAGCGTGCGACGCTTTTTGATCTATATAAGGTGGAACAACGATATTTTAAAGATGCCGAATACACGGTCTCAAGACGGCAAGGCTATGTCAGATTCAAGCCAAGAAACTACTACTTTAACACAGGCTGAATTCGAAATAATTAATCAAAGGATAGCTGATAAGGAAAAGATGTTCCGTGCACAGGCTGAAGCTTTACAAGCAAAACAGGACGAGCTGGACAGGCTACGTCAAGATATAAACCAAGGGCGAGGAGAGTGTGATACTATGAGCTCTCGCCTTGAACATTTAGAACGAGCTATGGCTTCCATGATGACATCGCAACGAATCGCTGATACGCGCCAGACGGAAAGCCACTTATACGAACGTGTGCCAAGGAACCATGGGAGAAGAAATGGCGGAGGAACGCCACCTGAATTAGAGTCACCTATCCGATTGAAAGATGTTATAGATACGATACCGAAGTACGACGGACACAAGATTTCCGTGTTTCAATTTTGTAAAATGTGCGACCGAGCCTTGAGTCTGATTCCGCGATATTATGAATACCACCTTGTGCAACTTATTATTAACAAATTACAAGGGCACGCACATACTGCTATAGAGGGATGCGAGTATACGACAGTACTCGATCTAACTCGTCGACTAAAGAAATATTTCGGTCCAAATCGATCGACCGATCAGTATCGAGGAGAATTGGCAAATATCTACATGAAACCCAACGAGAGTCTTTTTGATTATATAGAACGAGTAAAAGAATTAAGATCCATTATTCTGGATGGTGAGACCACAGAATCTGGATTTATCGATGAATCCATGAAGGATTCTATAGAACAAAGTGCGAGGGAAAGTTTCGTAAACGGACTTCACTCTGATTTA